AAATTACGTCGTTTACGACATAAGCATTGGAAACAGAACGCTTCAGTAAATCTGCTTTTGCGACGGGAATAATAAACTCTGACATTTGTGAGTAGTTCTAGAACAATCAAACGCGAAAATAGATTTAAGCACATGAATTTTATCCACTGTTAGAAAAAACAAGATCTGTAAGGCTATAATTTACCACAAGAAATTACTGGTTAGTACCAGAGCCCTATACGAAAAGAAAACATTCTAGATTGACAAAATGTTCAAGCAGAGAAAATATAAGCAACAGCGGCGGATAACAGTAGGCAGTCGTTTGAACGTACCAGTATGACTCAGAAAAATCGGTGGGATTTAATCCTTAACTGTGGATTGAGAGACAGTAAACTCAAAAAATTAAAATAGGTCCCAAGCTTGGTAGAAGGCAAGTGTATTTGTCCCTTAGATTTTATAAAGTTCAAGGACATCATTTTATTGATAAACGGTGGCTGTCATAATGGAAAATACGAGAACGTTTGCTGACATATATCTATACCAGGTCTTTTATTATCATGCTTAGTGAGATGTTAGAACGATTTGATCTTAAGGTCTCTTTAGGTGGCTAAGATCACGAAGAGCTGATTAGAAATCAAAAAACCTATGCCAGATATAATTCGAAATTAAGTTTAGTTACCAGGGCTAAACAACGGAACTATAGTGAGTTTTCAAAACCGTTTACGTAGGGGGAGGGGATTTAGAGTTCTCAAAGACCTCTGATTTCTTTTAAAACTGAGTGAGTGGACGGAAATATTTTTTGGCGAAATTTGAAATTTGCTTACTTAATTAGCTACAAACGATACGATAAGTAGAACAATATGCTGATTTTTTTTGAAAAATGTCAATACTTTTCGAAGACATTTATTGTAGGCTTCTTTAAACCACTCTATATATATGAAGCATATAGTGACTGTGTCATGTCACTTTCGCAAGATTGCCGACATATGTCATTTTACAGAAGGTTTGTATATTGATAAAAAATGTAACTTTCCAAGACCTTTTAAGACATCAGACTCCTAAAGAACGCCAGGACAACCTTGAAATCAAAATATATATGTTTCAATGTCCAAGCTTTGTCAATTTAACAGTGAAATGAAATGAAAGTATCAAGATCATGCTAATGACTTTGCAACGAACTTATTTTACGGCATTTTTATCAGGGATGAAGTTTGTGAAATAATTAAATACCTAAGGCTGATTAGAGGTTTTCTGTTAACGGGCTTATGTATCTAGTTGCAGCGAATCCCTTATGCCGTCAAGTTGGGATCTAGGTACATTATAAAGTAAAAGAGAAACTGCCATGAGTTTTCAAGAAAGTATCACTTTTCCATCGGGGGACTCCTGAGGATTTGTATGGACCACCTTATCTGGTAATGAATTCCGGGACGTACTTACTTACGCCTGTTACTCCCAATGGACCATAGGCCGCCGACCAGCATTTTCCAACCCACTCTGTCCTGGGCCTTCTTTTCTAGTTCCATCCAATTCTTGTTCATTTTTCCCATGTCTATCTCCATTTCTCGGAGTAATGTGTTCTTTGGTCTTCCTCTTTTCCTTTGACCTTGAGGATTCCATGTGAGGGCTTGTCTTGTGACGCAGTTGGGTGCTTTCCTCAATGTGTGTCCTATCCACTTCCAGCGCTTCTTCCTGATTTCTTCCTCCACTGGGATCTGGTTTGTTCTCTCCCACAGTACGTTGTTGCTAATACTGTCCGGCCAATGGATCTGAAGTATTTTGCGTAGACAATTGTTGATAAACACCTGTATTTTCTGGATGATGGCTTTTGTAGTTCTCCAGGTTTCCGCCCCATACAGTAGAACTGTTTTGACGTTTGTATTGAAAATCCTGACCTTGGTGTTGATTGACAGTTGCTTTGAGTTCCAGATGTTCTTCAGTTGTAGATATGCTGCACTTGCTTTGCCGATCCGCGCCTTCACATGAGCATCAGATCCACCATGTTCATCAATGATGCTGCCCAAATATGTAGAGGTTAAACGGTATACCGTTTACATCAGGACTAGGATTAAGTAGGTAATTTAGAGCATGTTTAAGAGTACTTATTATAGTATAAGTGTAAAAAGTCATCCCTGAGTAAAGATCCAACGATCTAAGACTTTATCCAATCAGAAATCACTGCAAACTTTGCTTTCGCACCAGAGATGACGTTGTTTTGAGATAAAAATACTAGTAAATCGTGAATAAAATTGTCGGTATGAATTGTAACGCAAGGAACAAATAGCTGCCACTTTGCTACATACACTACTAAATCAAATGTCATCAACAGATAAAAATGTCCAAACGGCGTCGATTTGCACTCATAAGTTCAATTACGACAATATATATATATATATATATATATATATATATATATATGTATTCCTCTTATTATAGGCTATTATTCATCTTAAAGGTTACTGTTATATGACGTACTATTCTCCAATTATTCTCAATCTATTAGTTACAGTACTTGACTATAACAGCCTCTTTTAACTTGATCGCTTCAGAGCATACTTAACATGATTGGCTGACATAATTCATCACGGTGCAAGCAATTTTGACTGGGGAGAGCAAAGATTTGCTTAACAAAACCCAGAATTATTAATAATTCAGCCTTTTAAATCGATTTTAAAGTCGAATTCTACTAGTACAACCAAGTTTTACATAAATAAAAACGGGATTGTAGACAACATTGATACTATTTGTGAGTAACTCGGTCACCATTTCTCTCAATGCGGCAATACCGAAACCAACACATTTATCAATACTCTTCCAATGTTGACGTATAAGCATCCATTCACATTTGATTTTACATCCATCAACATCAATCAGGCCATAAGTATCTTGAAAAAGTTCTATGACAATGGGCCTTAATGGCATTTATGTCTCGTTCGCAAAGCACAGTAGTGAAGAATCTCCGCTGTCCTGTTTAAAATTGTGCAGCCTGGCCATGGGCTATGGATCCTATCCCGTTAACTTGATATCTGTGTTATCAGGAACTACGGGAAAAGTATCCACAAACAGCTATTACCATTTTTGCTTTCAGCAAGCTTGATAAGCCCTTCTCAACATAGGTTTATGAATAAACGACCATACTCCATTTCCCACCCGGAAAGTCAATCAATAAATGGTAATCCTATACTTCGATTATAGTAAGGCTTTTGCCAGTGTCTCACATAGCGTTTTAAAACTTTCATCATTTGGCACGTGTGACTCCTCTAAAAATGCTACAAGTATTCGGAGTTTGACGTCTTTACACGTAACACATTTATAGTCTAAGTATACTGACCAAGTTAAGTCAAAAGGTAGGAATCAAGGGGTCCGAATATAAATTTGAAAGGCTATCGATATGTTGAGTGTTTGGTCTAATCTGGCTAACAGCTGTAAGAGATACGTAGCACGGCGTATCCGTTCTTGATCTGTTGCGGATGCTTGACCTAGGGGCCTTAGCTAAATGTGTTCAGTAAAACTAATAAGGTCGGCACAAACATCACAGGTACGTGACTATTTTGTTTCGGGAATTTACTTACCTCTTCGAGCTTTCTTTCTGGATCATATCCTTTCAATAGATCCTAGACAAAACGTTCTCCTTGGGTCTTGTTACACAGCTTATACATGTAACCAGTATGGTCATTCAAAGAAATGTGATTAGCCCTTTACTATTCATAAGTAACGTGTGCCTACTCTTTCAACACAGTAAATCTTCCCTTTTTGCCGATAATCTATAAGGGTTTACTCATTCTCGTCTCTTACCAAAGGGAGCCATACTTTGACGGTAATACAAGAAAACACAAACAAGTTATGCAAGTGGGCTGTGTTCAGGTCACCACAAAGTACGTCACAGGTCACTGACGGTGCGAGTACAAGTGTATTAGCAACAATTCAATGGCAATTGCTTGACGTGTTACAAAATTACAATTCTCCAAGCAGCTGTATTCACTACGCATGTAATACGTGCCAGGACGCTTAGAAAGAAGCCACTACCCAGACATCGCTTTAGATTATTTTGACCAACCCCAGGGGTCTGTTCGCATCTCCAGAATTGTGCAGACCCGCCGCACAAGACCCAAGAAAGCGTCACAACCAGACTGTCATGATGGTGACTGTCCCTGCTCGCAACAGATAGCTGTCTCACCTATGTCCGGGATACCATTTCTGGCACGAAATTTCTGACACCCGCGCAGAGGTGAGCATAATCCCACTGACGCTATCCCAAAGTAAACACTCCACAGCCAGTAACATACTCCTAGAAGTGGAAGACAAGACTTTTGCTTGGCGAATAACTACACTAGGCTTCGGTGCATGCAATTGATTCTCATAAATTCTCATCAAACCTCAGGTGAAATAACCTATTTTAGGAGCTGATTTCCCAAGTTTCTACACATTACTTGTTATTATGAACAAATAAAAACTTATTGATGGAAATATATGACTCCAAGCTAGTGGCCTACTTGCTAGCAGTCCAACCCATAGTATTTACCTATTAACGCAGACGAGTAGTCTATGCAATAATATTTTATGGGGGTATGACAACATTAAGAGACCCGGTTACCAAGCTGATCAGTAAGTGTACAGTCAAAAAGTTTACCTCCCGATAAACTAAGTCTCTAGAACAGAGTACAAACACATGATGCAGTTGGGTATCATACGACATTCAAGAAACCCATTACATATGGTATCCAAGGAGGATCATGAATAGCATCCGTGCGAGGACTATCGTCGTTCGGATAGTAAGACCACAACAGGCAGATACCTGATTCATCACCTACACGGTTTTTCTTTGGCATCACATGGAAGGAATACTTTTTCTAAGATAAACCACGTGGGAGTATACCACTAAAATTCCGGCGGCACTGGAGAATGTCGAAAAACCGGCCATTAACACACCTTTAAATCTGTTTGATTTCTTGGTGTCATTTGGACTGAGGAGCGCAGCTCAAACATTCGAAAGATTAATGGGCGTGGTCACAAGAGGACTGGACTTTGTATTTTAAGTAACAGGTAATCCACGAAATAAATGAATTCACGTAATTTGCTACCATATTTGTTCTTTTGCTATCAAAGTTTACAATTGGAAAACGTTGTATGAAAGACTCATAATACATTTGTTAGATTATGATTGCGATATTTGAGACCGAGGAAAATAAAAAGACACTTGTGCCTTCTATAGAATCATTGACCACCACTAGTGAGTCACGCTTCCAAAAAGACGTTGAAAATGTATGTGGTAAGACATAAATATTATGATTAAGGTGATTATAAATTAGAAGTGTTTGGACCTTTTTTATGAGAAATAATATTTACAAGGGTAGCTAAGTCATCTAAATTTGATGAGATTTTATTTTGTCGATCAGAAAAATCAGCTTCTAAATCTTGTTTTAATAAATTGATCTCCTTTAGACTGCAATCAATCGCACGATTTGACAAATTGATAAATTTGTTCACCTGCTCCGATGGTATACCAGCGGCTCGTGTGGATTGACTAGAACATTCACTTTCAACCTATAAATTGGAAAATATGAAATCAGGTGAATTAATTAGGACGTAAACATTTTATTTTGCTACACAATGTACTTTTATAGGGGCTTAATACTCAATAGAGATAATATTTAAGACGTGACTTAACTTACGTAGGCCAACTATAGTTAACTTACAGTCATAATCTAGTTTCTCTGGAACACAACATGTAATCTATTCAGGCGTGAACATCACTGAAATAATGGCATCTCCCAAAGCAGGACAATAAAATCTTGGCACAAATTTTACATCTGACAATCAATAGGTACTTCCTTACGGTTAACTTTGGTGTTACACACATAGCCGTTCGATTACACGGAAAAAAAGCTGTAAAGACGTAGGTTATTAAATATCGGTAACCTTTGAATATCATCAGCCTGCAAAAACAAATTTGTGCCGGATTTTGTGTTATTTGATTGGTTGAAAGAAAGTGTTTGTATATGTTCGCTGAGTTATCATTCATATGGGATTTGTGGAGATTAATTTATAATGTAGGTGGTATTTATTATAGATTGACAAAAGTTAGGGGTGATTGAAAACCAAGGAGTGACTAGGCAGTCATTTCATCTTAGTAAGACATTTTCCGACAAAAAATCATGACCGTTATCGCTGCGCCTTATCGAGGATTGGCTAAAGTTGAAAATATGAATTTCAACTCAATTATCTAAATGTAACGGGATTTCTGCGAGACCCCAGTGCCCAAGGGACGAACTCTGGTCAGGTCTCGGATACCCGACAGCTAGAAGTCTCATATTTGGCAAAACAACTGTCTATTGTCTACCAGATTTTCACGTCATTCCAAATGATGTGGGTGTAAAATCTTGGTGAGACTATAATTTATGGACGACCTTTGAGCGACGTTAAAGAGACCTTGAGAATGTCCACCTACATACTACGGCTTAATGAGGGTTATAAACCAGCATGAGGAATTAGGATTAATATTTACAGTTGATGGTTAGTATTAGGAATCAGATATAGGGTCTTCATTACGAACTGACATCAGCTATAAATCCAAAACTCTATTTAACCGAATGGATGAGAGAATTTCGCGCCAAACTTCAAGACCTGTTATCATAAAACTGATTGGTTCGTCAATAAATTATAGTCTCGCCAAAATCTTTATTTCGACTGTTAAATATAATTACTTTAAATGACACTATTATATAGTAAAACGCTTTCTCTAGTCGTATAAAAAATTAAGAACTAGAATTATTTTACGTAACGTCCTAACAAACAGAATTACTAAGTCCTAAGAACATTATTTTCAACATATACACAAAATAACGAAAGAAACCTTTCTTCTTCAATATACACAAAATATTGCCTTCCGCTCATTTTGCATGAAACGATTATATACTGAATGCATACAATACCATGAAGAGGTTATTAAACCATACATCACAGTTTTCATATTTATATGAGTGAACAAATAAGAAAGTTAAGACTGAAAATTATTTTCAATCACCAATCAATATGTTTGTGTTTTTTAGGGTGTATTCATGAAAAGTGGTATTTTAATGTTGTCCAAATTGTAATATTTCATTTGATCTATTAACCATTGATATATCTTTTACAATTCATGAAATACAGTTAATTAATTAATTTTCAATACAAATGTCAAGACAGTTCTACTGTATATGGCGGAAACTTGGAGAACTACGAAAGCCATCACATCCAAAAGATACAAATGTTCCTTAACAACTGTCTACGCAAAATACTTCGGATTCGTTGGCTAGACACTATCAGCAACAACCTACTATGGGAAAGAACAAACCAGATCCCAGTGGAGGAAGAAATCAGGAAGAAGCACTGGAAGTGGATAGGACACACATTGAGCAAAATCACACAACTGTTGTCACAAGGCAAGTCCTCACTTGAAATTCCCAAGGCCAAAGGAAAAGAAGAAGACCAAAGAACACATTACGGCGAGAAATGGAGACAGACGTGAGAAAAATGAACAAAAATAGGATAGAACTGGAAAGGAAGGGCCAGAACAAAGTGGGTTGCAAAATGCTGGTCGGCGGCCTATGGTCCATTGGGAGTAACAGGCGTAAGTAAGTAAAGTAAGTAATTGTGTACATGTTACACAGTTCTATATCACAAATGACAATTTAACACGAATTATAATTCAAATAACGAAAAAGGCCAATTGTATCTGTGATGAGGAAGGAAGTAGACAACTACGTCACCTTACCACTTTTTCGCTAACCGATTATTACTTAAATTCCTTTCAATATATGATTTTCAATTAGCGTCTTTCTATCTTACTATAGAACACTATTTAAGCAAATAGAAAAAAACAACTATAAATACTATTGTAAAGTTTCAATAAATAAAATCGTCAGAAAGAAAGTTTTCTTTATTGAATTGCCTTCTTTTACACATTGTAATTTCTTAGTATTGATGAGTTGTGGTCTTTCACTTGATTTACATAAGGATCATGTGAATTTTCAAGTTTGAATAACATAAGTTATTTGACTAAATTTTTTGTGACCTGATTGAGAGTCAGAAACCGAAGAAGTTTTGCACAGGCCAATAATCAACACTAGAACATATCGCGTAGTTATACTGTAGTAATTGATGCAATTAGCGTCAGCAGGGAATAGAACAAACGAATGTAACTGAAGAGATTTCTTGAATAACAAATGGAGCATATTGGGAAGAACCACATGAACTTTATGAAACCATATCGAAAGAGATTGCCAATGAAATTATCAGTGGGTTAGATATGTGTTCAACCAATTCATTCATTAAAGTTAGACTTATAAATGTAATAACTGAAAATGAGGATATATATATAACTTTTAAGAATTACATAAAAAACAATGTAGTAGGATGTTTTTTAAATAAATAGTATCTCCAAAATATATCACTGAGATATAAATAAAATACTTACCTTTGGATCTAATTTAGTTCGAAGATATTGAGGTACAGTATCATGATTGAATAGTGAAAGACGTTCTTCTGTAATTTTAGCTAAATTAGTATCTTGTTCCGGATTTAACAACATTGGTGTAAGCACCAGGGTATGTTCATTTGAAAATCGATCGGATTCAAGTATTTTCCGAATTTCACTTAGTTCTGATGCACATAACGCTAGTGTACTAAGATATCTTGGCCAGTCACATTGGTCACCCTAAATTATCAGAGAAAACAAAGGAGATATAGAACATTAAAAAGATATTAACATAGTCCCTAAAAGCATCTTAAGCAATGGTTATATATATATATATATATATATATATATATATATATATATATATATATCACCCCTAAATACCTTTAAAATCAACCCACGACTATCGATTGCCTTCTCACACTAAGTAATTGAAGAACTTTGATCGATTTTCCATCCAAGTTGCTTTGTAGAGTTTGCATCAGAACCCGTTAGTTTAAAAACCAAGGCTTAATTTAACACTACTGGGTCATAAGAGTGAACTATGATAGGGCATTTGAGATATCGACCTTGGTTTTTAGCCAAAACATCAGGACTAAGCGGGATACACAGGCATGTGTAGTTGATGGGCTACAAGTAGAACAACATGAATTCGATTCCTAACTAATACTAAACTGTATCAAAAGTGAGGATTATAACTAGTGAAATTGACATGAAATATTTAAACCCGGTAATTTAAATGTAGGACAAATCATTTTATACATTTAAAACGTACTTGAGTTTCCGCTTTGATGACTAAATCCTGAATTTTTTGTTTGAGTTTATGAATTGCAGTATATAAAGTGTTAACATTTTCTAACTGACGTTTTTCAGCAATTTGCATCAGTAAGTAATTCAAATGTCAATAAATTTTTTCCTGTTGTCTAAAAACGTAACTGAGATAAAAGTGATTCCAAGCAGTCAAGATTGCTTCAATATTTGTACTTTCTGAAAAACAACACGAAAGTAAATTAAATTAGTGGAATTTAAGAGAAATGATGCAGTGTCAAAATATATACCTTATGTGATTCAAAATTGGTCTTCAATCACTGGATGTGAAACAAGGAAAAGTAAGATCAAGACTACAACGGATATTAAGCCCATGTAGTTGTACCGTGTCATTAATGAGTATCCAAATAAGCCAATTGGCTTCACTAACCTTTATGGCTGGAAGGGGAACCTCTATGGATAGACAGCTTAGTAGTTATAGTACTTGACTTTCAATTACTGAGGTCCAGGTTCAAATTTTGTTAAATCTACTTTAGTTTAGGAAGCCAGATAGTACTGTCAGCCCACTCTAAAAATATAAAGAAAAGCCGAACCTGCACTTGGTAATAAACGACTTCTAATCAACTACACTAACACATCTAAAAACGTTTAGGGAGATTGATAGTAGAGAAATTGTAGCCGAAAACAAGACGCATATATTGAAAAGAAACTGAATAATTGTGATAATTTGATGTAATTATATATGTTTATAAACTGTACTTGAACTAAAAAATCAAGAGTACATTGTATGAATGAACGTACTAATCAATAACAAATAATTAAGACCATCACATATCTATATAAATTCATGAGCCATAAATATTCTGGATGTTAACATTCCATATGAAGCAATGCCGAATAGCTAGATATAGTGAGAAACCAAAATGTCTTAAAATATAATAGAATGACATGGGTAGTGGCTAGCAGTGGAATCCAGGACGCGCGTTTCGTCCTGTTTGGGACTCGTCAGCTGGATGTACCTGCATCTCAGAGTTGATGTTCACTCTGGGACTCGAATTCAGTACCGTTCGCTTCAAACGCCATCGCGTTATTCACTTAGCTACTGAGTCCTGATAGCCACTTGCTTGTGCAATGGGGTGAAGTTTAATTAACTTGGTATTGTTTTACTTGAATCTTACAATTGATGTTTTAGGACTGAAATTGATGAGTCCTATAACATCAATGGGAAGATTCAAGTAAAACAATACCAAGTGAATTATAATAGAATGACAGTTATATCAAGAAGTAAGAGAACACATGATTACTTTAACATTAGAAAGAGGGGACAGAAAATATTTACTCAATTTGTGACTCATAAAATACTTAATACAAAAGAGAAATTTACCATGTATAATGAAATAGTAACAAGTTAAAAAAGAATTCAAGTATGAAAATTATTTCTTAAAAAAGAAGTAAATAGTTTAAATTAGTACACAATCGAGAATGATTTTATTCCTTTCTGTATGTTCTACATTTGATAAGAAATATAACAAAAAACTAAAAATATATTGAAGCCCTCAATTGTTTCAGCACAAAAAGTACAAATAAGCTTATTTCAGATGTGTAGGGGTAATTTACAATTTTATAGTATGAAGTACATCTCACGATTGCTAATACCGATTATTAACTAATTAGGTAGACAATATGTCATTGTACAGTAAAAAAATATAATCTGCATACTCGAATCTATGTAGATAACAAATATAAATCACCACGTAATTCATTTAGAACTGTTTCTGAGTTGTTACCGATAGAAGTGTTGGGGAGGAATGATGACTGTTCAACTGGTCTATCCACACCTCTGATTTGGGGAAATAAAGGAAGGAAACGTGGAATTCCTTAAGTGCATCAACAAAATCTTTTATAATCTAAAGGTAAATTTATGAAACGACATTGAGGTGAAAATACGAGTATAATGATATGGCTATTATATTTTGAATTAAATGTCAAACATATATCTATATCAGAAACAGTAAACCAACAATGGTTTTCATATTAGACCTGAAACGTATATTCCTATGTTTATTTATTTACACACAAACATTAGTGCAAAGGCCCACCAAAATATACATATACGCCACATAAATCATCGGTACAGTTGAAACGTTGGAAGTTCTGAGTTAGATTGGTTGATACATCTGTTTCTAAATGTCATCAGTATGCAAGCCAATTACTACTTACTTACTTACGCCTGTTACTCCTCGTGAAGGAGCATAAGCCGCTCACCAGCATTCTCCATCCAACCCTGCACTGGGCAATTTTTTCCAGCTCCTTCTAGTTGTTATTCATTCTTTTCATATCTGATTCTATTTCCCAACCTAGTGTGTTCTTTGGCCTTCCTCTTTTCCGCTTAACTTCAGTATTCCAAGTTAGCGCTTGTCTCGTGGTGCAATTTGATGATTTGCGTAATGTATGTCTTATCCATTTCCATCGTCTTTTCCTAATTTCCTCTTCAACTGGAAGCTGGATTGTTCTCTCCCACAAAAGGCCGTTGCTGATGGTATCCGACCAATGGATGTTGAGTATCTTGCGTAGACAGCTATTTATAAATACTTGTACCTTCTTGATGGTGGTTGTTGTAGTTCTCCAAGTTTCAGCTCCGTACAGTAGAACTGCCTTGACGTTCGTACTGAAGATTCCTACTTTGATATTGGTTGAAAGTTTTGAGTTCTATATGTTCTTCAATTGTAGGAATGCGGCCCTTGCTTTGCCAATCCTCGCCTTTACGTCTGCATCTGAACCTCCTTGTTCACCGATGATGCTTCCCAGGTATGTGAAGGATTCTACATCTTCCAGAGTTTCGCCATCAAGAGTGAGTGGACTGCTGTTCTTCGTGTTGTATTTGAGGATATTGGCTTTCCCCTTGTGTATGTTGAGGCCTACTGATGCAGAGACTGCTGCTACACTGGCTGTCTTTATCTGCGTTTATTCGTGTGTATGCGATAGGAGGGCTAGGTCATCTGTGAAGTCCAAATCGTCTAATTGGTTTTGGGCTGTCCAATTAGACTAACGTAAGTTCCGACGGAAAGTCATACTAGTGAATAAACTGAGGTATGGTTACTAAAAAGTAATTATCATCCCGACCGTTACTGCTACATTGACGTGATGGTCGGGCTTGCCTATCGTAATGAACCGATTGAGCTATACTGGTTGGAACAATCGTCCTTCAAGGTCCTACAATGCCAGACAGGTCGGTTGAAGAGTGCTAAGACTAAAGGCAGCAAACCCAAGGTCCGAGGGCAAAGTCGTACTGCAGACTATACAGAGGTGTGACGGCAGTAAAGTGTTTCCTTTAGACAATCAGCATAACAGCGATGTTGCCTTCACACAAGGAAGGGTGGGGTTGGAAAGGGTCAAACCTGAAAGTGCACACCTCGTCTTATCCCACGGATTTCCATCTCTGGCGGTAAGGTTCCAAAAATTACGGAGCTAACAATAAAACTACTCACAAAAAAGTCGTGTGTAACCGACCTCAAGCAGTTGTCCCATGGGCACTGCGATCACGCTCTCAGGTCACTAGGATCCCTCTTAACCCAATTTCCTCTTCAGGTACCTCCAGAAGAGCCCTTCTACAGTGTGGGCAACCAGGAAGTGATAACCGCCCTCATACCTCTAACAGCACTCAAGACCACTGTATTCATAATCAACCTTCCTCTTCACTTCCTATTATTGTTCCTACATCGACTTTCACCTCTAAACTTCCTCCTTCGGCTTCCCCCTCAAGTGTCACCATAGCCAACGATTCTAGTGCTAAAAACACTGTCCCAGGTCTACTGAAACCTCGCTTCAAACTACACATTGGAGCCTTCAACGTACGCACCCTATGTCAAATCGGTCAACAGGCTTCCTTAGCTAGAACCCTAGAATCTCGTACCATTGATGTATGCTGTGTCTCTGAAACACGCATATAGGATTCCAGTGTGGTCATTCACTTGACCTCATCTCGGCAAGACGGAGAGCCGACGAGATACACCCTCCGTATATCTGGCGACCAGATGGCCAGCTCTTGTGGACTGGCAGGAGTGAGGTTATACGCAGGGTATTAGGGAATGATGGTAAATCAGTTGATGAGGTTGTGAATCTTCATTGACTGAGATGGTTGGGCCACGTGTTACGTATGCCTGAACACCGATTACCACTACGTGTAGTGCTAACCGGTGTTGGAGATGGTTGGAAGAAAGTTAGGGGTGGCCAAACCAAAACGTGGCATCAGTGCTTGAAGTCACTAACTTCTAGTCTGAGCCATGCTGGTAAATACAGACTACTTGGTTGGGGTCCGCGTGACTATCGTAACCAATGGTTGGAGACTCTTGGTGACATGGCTCAGAATCGATCACAATGGCGTCGGTGTATACACTCTGTCTTCCCTTAAACTAAGAGATTAAAATTGCTTCATATCTTTCTTTCTACGAACTAATTCTTTCTCCCTGTACTATATCCATCCTTATGTTCAACCTTTCTTTTATATATTACCACAACTGAATTAACTACTTTGATGAATCCGGTGTCCATCTTGTTGTGTTAATGTGGTATGGCAACTTGGACCGATGCATATATATGCCTGGTCCTACTTTGTAGCTGACTGACTGACCATTTAGGACCGTATAGGGAAGTGGCAATAAAACACTCATTTTCCATGAGATGAACTGCAGTACGTATGAATTTGACATTAAAGTGATTAAATAATCAGAACTTCTAAATTCTTATTTGTATGAGTTAAGGGAAAATTGTGAATGTAAGCACCGAAGACTTCTTACATGGCACATATGATAGACTGAACAAGTGTGGATCCATAACAAAGAGATTACCTATTCACAAAAGTTATTCGTTAACAATGTTTTACTTAAAATACTATGACTTAGATTTTGTCCAGTCAGTCAGCTACAACGTAAGACCGGGCGCAAATGCATCGGTCCAAGTTGCCACACCTCAGTGAACACACCGCGTGAAAATTCGACTGCAGACTGCCAAATCAACAGTTCCCTTTATCATCTGAAGAGGAACTGGGAACGTTGGACGCTTTTCTTCAACAGGAAGGCATAAGGAACAAATTTGTAAGTCAACAAAATTAATTTGACCATTTGTTTTTATTACAGATGGGCACGTTGATGAAGTTAATGGATGATAATCCTAAAACGTCAGTGCGCTACATTTTTTCATGTGTCATAACACCTGAAGTTGCCAGTCATTTCACACTACTTAGAACTTCAGAAGCGCAGGTTTTACTGCTGCATACGAAGTAGAATGTTTTTTAAAACTTTAGGTGCATTAACTAGTCGGTTCCTGTCATGTCAATGAAAAAACATTGCGAAACTGTATGACATCGCGACTCACGGTTATTTTTACGACATGAGAGATAAAATAGGAGAGCGTCATCGGAGAAAACAAGAACATGTATGTACTAGTCTAAAGCGATTACTATTCTCTATTGTTCTATTGGTATAGTCGTCAGTGTTAACGAACATAACTGTAAGTAAAACTTCATATAGATAGTTGCCTAAAAAACAATAGCAGTTATATATTTATGTAATTTTTTGTGTATACTTTAAATTTCAGAATTTACAAGATTATTTTGATTCTCAATAGTCGAACAGGCATAACGAAAAAAAATAACCAATGCAATATTTTTGATGTTCAACCTCGTTTCCAATAAACACTTTTTAAACATGCGCTTACTTTCTTGCCTGAATGGGAAACTCTTCGAGTAAGTGTTGAGAAAGCCTGTTTGATTTTAAATGCACTTGTAAATAAGAACATGTGCCTAATTAATAACACATAATCTATTCTTTCATTTGCAGATCTTCTCAAATTACAATAAGACTTGGCAATTATTATTAAAATATATAACGATCGATGTCCTTGCAACTGTCAATTATTCATAATGTTGTGCAATATTACACTTCTCAATAAACTTCTTTAAACACACACTATTTTTAACGTGGATTGCGATTTTTGTGTGGTGCTATGGAAATAAAGGCGAACACATGAGACATTTTGGGTTATGAAAAAAGTGTTTTAAAAATGGGAGCAAAATTATATAAATCGGGGTGTATTTAGTCGAGAAGTGAACAGTTTAACGTATATTTAGGCGAAAAGTGAACAATTCAGAGACGTTCGAAACACAGAGCGATAAAGAAAAAATCGCCATTATTTCCCCGGACAGATGAAAAAGCAGACATTTCCGCGCGCTTTCCCATTATTTCCCCCTTATTGGTTGATTGAGCACATGTTAACATGTGCTCAATCAACCAAATTTGCTTGCAGCTCGGGCTTAAACTTTTCGGATTTAGAGTTAAGTGGTTAATAACGTTTGTCCATGACCTAGATAAACGCATGAAACCGTTAAAGTAAACCAGGGAGTGTATTAATAATGACACTAAACTGTTATTCACAAACCAGAAGTTACGTTCAGATTGGAATGTGCGCCAATAACTTGGCAAAGACAAATAAAACGTCAAAAATTTCAGAACAGAAACGGAATTACTGGTTCCTTAGACTCTACATCGAGGTTTTTCTAAACCCTGCTTGATTTTCAGAGACTTTAAAAAGTAAAAAAAATGTGGGCGGGTAATAACTTTTAGAGTAGCTGGTGCATTTTTGTCCTCTGAACTGGATGGTTTGGTCGTGGAGCTTCCGTCGTCCATTGTCACATGTGGAGATATTCTAACAAATCATTCTTATTTGGAGTTTGTGCTGATGATGTCTCTGAGAAGAACGGTGAGAACTCCAAGACAAAACCATCCAGCTGAGAGAACAAAACTACCAAACCTATCCACCTGAACTAAAAATCTTCTCCACCATCTCCTAGAGCAGTTCACAATACCGTTGGAATTATGGTAAATACTGGGCCCTTTTTGAAGAGAATCAGCAGGTTGTTTGTGTTAGTCTTCTCAATGGTAGTCTCTCAGTTGATCCAACTTTTTTTGAAAGCTTTAAACGCATGTTAAAGTAAAGAATTTCACTTGTTGATGATTCGGTGGGAAATTTGTTTGTAAGCTGACAAGCGATTTGTTCTGGCCTTGTGAACTTCCTTAGAGTGTCCTCTATCTCGGATGACAAGAAAAATGAGGGCATATCAGACATTGAATGTCGCACTCTATTTAAAAGGATTGTGGTATTTTTCTTCGCTGAGTAAATTCTATTGTTTCGATCGTTTATTACGTATCAAGACTACTGTTTTCACTTTAATTGAATTTATTTCAGTTTAATTATTCGATTAGAATATCGTTTCTGTTTCTAAAGTAGTTTGTCGTCGGTACTTTTGAGTACATTGTTTTCTATTGTATCTGTTAGTACTTTTGGTTCTAACAATCTATATTTTTCGACTTATTTTCCGGTCACATATCCTTTTTGTCTCTGGGTATCTAGTTCTTTTTGAAAAAAAGAAGACCCCTGTTTAGTGAATGGACAGTGCAAAGAAAGCAATTGCCGACGTCCGGACTGTCGTTATCCCGTTGAAAGCGGCATGCAGTGCTATGGGTGCAAAGGCTGGTACCACGAATTTAACACCTGTGGCTTTCAAACGGTTCGGTTAAAAAAACGGTTGCGTATGGCTTTGTCAGCAGTGCTGTTCGGATGCAAACAGCTTGCTAACCGAGGCCATCTCACTGGTAAATGCTGCAAAAAAGTGTTTTAGCAAGCGTAGTCGGGACACATCAAACAGTGCTCGCTCTGTTGACACGCAAATTGGTGCGAAGCAAACTCAGGTGAGTTCGAAAACAGGTGACACACCGACCAAAGGAGGAAAAACAGTCTTCAAAGAGGTCTGTTTTAACCAAAAACTCAAGAAAAGAAGTTTCTTCTGTCCCCCATCTTTTAAATGGTATCCAGCAGGAAACTCCTAGAAGCCGCTCAGGAGTTTTTGTCCGTAAGGACTTGCCGCTGGCAGATCGTGGAAAAAGACGGGAAGCCGAAAAAGAACTACAACTTAGGTTAGACGCTGGCGAAAAGGACCTGAAAATTGTAAATTTTCGGGTTTTCAGGCTTCGACAGAAAATGATGCCAAAGCCACTCTGGGTGAAGCACGAAGTCACTTAAATAGGCTTCGGATCTGTTACACCAATGCACGAAGCTTACTCAATAAGCGATCGGAACTAAATGTACAGATTGATTCTACAAAGCCAGACATGATCGCAGTTACAGAAACCTGGCTGACACAGGCTATAGATAGTATGGAACTTGATTTCGAGGGTTTTACGTTAGTAAGGGCCGACAGAACACAAAAGCGCAAAGGAGGGGGAGTAGCTCTATTCATTAGGAATGCTATCCCATTTGCCATTATCGATAATGTATCCCATGAGAGTGGGAAGTGTGAATTAGTTAGTTGCCGCTTGAAATGCAAGGGACAAGAGCTGCTGATTGGTTTGGTCTATCGCAGTCCAAGCTGTGAGGCGAATGAGATCCTGTTAAGCAGTCTCAATACTTGGTCATAAAGTGGTCGATGTCTAATCCTAGGGGACTCCAATGCACCTATGGTAGACTGGGAAAATCTGCGAACTAAATCGTCGGAGAATTCTTTCGAGCAGGAACTAGTTGATGGGGTTATCACATGTGCTCTAGTGCAACATGTGAAGGAAGCGACTAGGTACGACCCGGACACTGAATCATCCTCAGTAGATCTTATATTGTCTCACTATGAGGATGACGTTGCGAACCTTCATTACATGCTACCTCTAGGTAAAAGTGATCACGCAGTTTTAATTTTCGACTTCCATATAACTGCCAATCACGAGCACGTGTTAGCCCAATCCAGACCTAACGTCTGGAATGTAAATATGTAGAATTATGGTCTACTATGATAGTGCTGCTCTAATAATAGACCTAATCCTAAATTTTTAGATTTGTCATGATATAGCTGCCTAATCTATAAGATCTTACGTGGAAGTCACACCATCGACTACGCCAACTCACTGTATCGTATCAATTACCAATACGTGATGTAGAACAAGGTTAGGCTAGAGAAAGAACAATATATTTAATATGAATAGAAGATATAAGATAACATTCAGCAGGGACCACGCCTGCATGGCCGAGCCATGCCGTTCGATCAACTCTAGTCCATTCAATTCATTCTCCGCGCCTTCTCCATTGTTAGGTATTTCCCCGAGTTAAATATTGAATATCTATTTTCTGAGTAGTCTCGTGTTCATAGCTTTGTGGATTGTGTGGCTATTGTCCAATGCCACTACAAATATACCAGATATCATGCACCCAGCATCGTTAGTAGATTGGACAATAGACCCAGAGTCCTCAGTTGAAACGGCCTGGGACGCATTTCGAAATTCATACTTAAAAGTTACCACACCTCACATCCCTTGGACTATACCAAGGGGGCCGAGAAACTCCCCACCATGGTTCAATAGGGAGGTCCGCATCCTTCTCCGTAAGAGAAGAAAAATGTGGGATAGATTTAGGTTACAGGGGACCGATGAAACAAAATCTCAGTATCGAAAAGCTCGGAATACCTGTGCCTCGACCCTCCGTAAGTCTAGAAAGTTGTACGAAGAGAAAATTGTTAAGGAATCCATAGAATGTCCTAAACGCTTGTATTCCTATATGAATCAAACGACAAAAAGAAGAGGAAAAATTCCTGCACTATGGGGATCGGTACTGCCGCATTATTGGTGGAGGACGACTTTGGTAAGGCTTAAGTGTTGTCGAACTACTTTAGCAACGTGTACACCATAGAAGTACCCTTCCCGTCAGCGCATACAAATTTCCCCACACATACAATGGATAGCGTGACCATTAAAGAACTTGATGTCTTTGGTCTGCTAAATAAGCTTGACATAGGTAAATCCACGGGCACGATGAATTGCATCCTAGGCTGCTGAAGGAATTATCTAACTTCGTTGCGAAACCTTTAAGTATATGCTTTAACCTATCCGTAACGCAGAGTCGTTTACCAAAAGATTGGAAGGACGCCATGGTAAGTCCTGTCTTCAAAACAGGTACGAAACATAAACCTGAGAACTACCGCCCCGTTAGCCTAACTAGTGTGGTTGTTAAAATCTTAGAAAAGATTATTCGGAAGGAGCTGTTTAAGTTTCTCGATGAAAAACGGATCCTTTCGGAGAAGCAGCACGGTTTCAGAATAGGTTATTCTTGTCTCACTAACTTATTAGTGGCTCGTGAAAGCTGGTGTGCTATTGAGGACCAAACGTTAACTGTAGATGTAACTTACATTGATTTCAGCAAAGCTTTCGACAAAGTTCCGCACAACTGGCTGTTGTATAAGCTAAGAAATATCGGTACTAGAGGCAATCTATTGATGTGGACAAAAGACTTCCTAGTTGGGCGCCAGCAAAGAGTACGGGTGAACTCAAAGTTATCTAGCTGGGGAACTGTGCGTAGTGGAGTGCCCTAGGGTACAGTTTTGGGGCCAGTGCTATTCCTCTTGTATGTAACTGACCTTCCTTGTCTCCTATCATCACTGGTCCTGCTATATGCTAACGATGTCAAGATATGGAGAACGATACGATGTAAGGGTGATAGCTTAGAACTTCAAAATGACCTGAAGAAATTATCTGAATGGTCTCAAACATGGCAGTTGCCGATTAATACTTCCAAGTGTGTTGTGATGCATATCGGTCATCAAGGCACAGATACATACACGATGAATAACACGGAGCTACCTGTCGTCCAGACATATAATGACTTAGGAGTTATCGTTAGTCAAGACTTAAAAACTACTGCACACTGCCGTGCAATAGCCGCCAAAGGTTTTAGAACCTTATGGTCAATACGTAGGGCTTTTAGTCATGTCGACGCTAAGACGTTTTTGACTTTGTATACAGTGTTCGTTCGTCCTAAACTTGAGTACTGCATACAAGCGGCTAGCTCCTGCTTAAAAAAAGACAGTGAGCTTCTGGAAAAGGTTCAGAGAACGGCGACTAAGCTGATTCCCGGAATAGCGAAGCTTCCGTATGAAGCTCGACTGGCCAAGCTGAACCTTTTCCCGTTGTCATATCGCAGAACTAGAGGCGACTTGATTACAGTCTACAAATTGCTTAGTGATAAATTTGCACCTGATATGCCCCCATTTTTCTTGTCTTCCAAAACAGAGAATTTACGAGGACACTCCAAATATGTTCATAAGCCCAGAACAAATTACTTGTCAGCTGATTATCGACTTTCCCATCGAATCATCAACGAGTGGAATTCATTACCTCAGCACGTGGTTGAGGCTCCATCCGTCGACTCTTTCAAAAGAAAGTTGGATCAACTGAGATACTACCATTTCCAGGACTAACACAGGTCATCAAGCCTCCTGTCGTTTCCAAGCTGAAACCGAAGTTAATCACTAAGTAGTTTAAAAACTGCGACCAAGTGGCCCCCGGTTCTTCAATACGATAATGGAAATAGGTTTAGTTTAGCCAGTCGAACATCATACGGAGGCTTTGTTATTCCGGTAATCAGGTTGCTTGC